ATATTAATAATCAAAAATAGTGATAATAACAGTAACACTTGGATAAGAATCCAAGCACTTTTATTAAAATATTAAATGTAAATAAACACTCAAGAAAGAGGAAATGTGCACTAAGGGAATTCTTAAATTTTCAAAATGCTGTTTTCCATTCAAAATCCATTATAATGTGCGCCTTAATCTTACTCCAGATTCTTCAAGCAACCCTCTAGCTCTTTGTGTTTGCCTTCATCTCTAGTTAAGTAATTTCCACGAACAGTTTCCCAGTTGACATTGACTGACCGCAAAGGGAGGGGGGCGTGCAGAAAGGGGGAAAGCTAACTAGGATTTCCCCAGCGAATTTTCCTTGGCAAGTGGCTGAGCATTTTGGAGGAATTTGACGCTGGCAACAGGAGAAAGGGGAAACGGGGGAACGAGGAACCGGGGGAACGGTGGGGATGGACTATAATTGTGCCGCTTAAAAGGCAGGTAATTCGGCAACAAGTGAGACGACCGCATAATCCACAGCGACCACAAAGGCCACACGGTGGCGCATTAATAAATTTGCTCTGGCAAAAAGCTGAAAAATATTGAAAAAGCGATATCTACACAATTGTCCATAAAGTGGACATTTTTTCATTACTTTTTATTGTATTTTTGTTTTTCCAGTACTGTTGCTGTTGCTGTTGCTGTTGCTGTCGCAGTTTCAGTTGTTATTGCCGCGGGGTGTCCTTGTTTTTGCCGTGCAACCACAGCGAGGATTAAAGCGGACAGTAAAGCGGACGCGGTGCCATTTGTTGTGACAATGTGGCTAACAAAAGCGAACAGCAACACTGACTCGTTGATATTGACAACTTTTTAATCACTTAATAAATTCAATAAAATTAAATGCGGTTAAGCGTCGACAAGGACAGCGGCTAGCCCCCACCGCCAATCAAAGTCCCACCTCAATCACGAACCCTTTCATCCGTCACTCAATCAGAAGTACTCAGGCGCCTGACAATGAACAAAAGATTTGGAAAAATGCTGTCGAAAGGACATGCTGTTCGATAGCCTTCGGCCCCACAAATATTTGGTTGCCCTTTCCTCGGGCAACTAAAAGTGCTTGTCAACTTAAGCTGGTATTAACCTGCATATGTAACATACATATTTAACTTAATAAAAAATGTATATACGCTTTTGATTAATCGGTTTACAATTATATAAAATATGCAAGTACATAAAATATAGTTATCGTTAATTTTTGGATTGCAGCTGAATTTCAAAATGAATTCCTTAGGCTTTCTGAAAAATGCCACGTTTTTAAATCAATAATTTGAAAAGCATACCTTCCATTGATTTTCACAAGTAAGGACATTCTCGTTGCGAACTTCTATTGCGGAAGCTGCCCACTTTGAAGGATATTTAATTAGCGTGAATTATTTTGTGCGCAGCATTTTAATTTCGCAAATTAAGTGGCTCGGTACGAAATCATCGGTGTTTTGGGTAGGGATCCGTAATCCGCAGCCATTGCAAAATACGCGACATACTTGGATTTAGTTGAGGAAATCTCGGCTGTTGGGGATTATGTCGGAGCAGCGACTAATTGTAGTTGTATTCCTGGGCTTCCATTTTCCGGCTCAATCTACGAGTAAGCGCATTAGAAAAGCAGAGGAAAAACAGTCTGAGTTGCGGGCTAACCGCCAAGGCCCTTGGGCTTTTTATAGGGCCTAAGTATTTGCCGTGACAGCCAACAAATTGCCAACATTGGCACTTAAATTGTAATGCCCTTTTAAAGGCCCGTTTAAAGTTTTTCCCAGACAATTGACTTTGCTCGCGTGACACTTCGGATTTTGCGGGCAACTCGACCCCCCTAAACCCACGGCCATGGCCACATGCAATCAGCGCTGACCAACGCATTTCATTAGCACCAAATTAAGCAAAAATCACCCAAAAAAGGAAGCAAACAAAAAAGAGCCGTATTTTAGGGAGCATACAGCTGCAGTCAAGTTAATAGTTGCGACCCCATTCGAATGATTCCTTGATTAATTCAGTTCAAAAATATTTAAATCCTTAACCATTTAAAAAGTATATTTTTGTAGACACCTCCTTTGCCTAACTTCCATTGCTAAAGTAACTGCTCATTAAGTTGCTACAAATAAAAGTGAAATTACCAAGGGCTTATAACCATCTAGTAATCACTTTAAGCGTTATATTTAATCACTTCAACATTTAAATAAAACGTTCAGACTTGCAACTGCCACTACTATTTGGAACCCAGCTGTTTACATTTTGGGAGCTTTGTTGATCGTATCCGTATAAAGGGTTCTCCCCTCAAAGGCAATTGCATTTCGTTGGGTTAAAATAAAAAATAAAGAAAAACAAAACGAACTCGCCTCATTTCGATTGTAATTTGTCCGCGGGAAATTGGCAGGAAAAATGGGGGGTGGGCGCACAACAGTTCATTTACCTTTTCGGCGGAGAACCCCCCAATATCATGGCCCCGTGCCTCTTTGTAATTTCTGGCCAAGCATTTTCCATTGGCCATTTTTATATTTTCGGTTCATTTCGCTGGCCCCTCCCCCCTGGATTTTCCCCATCTTGTTTGTTTTGTTTTGTTTCGCTTGTGATTCGATTCGTTTCGCGTGGCGCGGTTTCGCGTATCTTTGTATCTTTGTATCTTTTCACGGTGTATCCCTTGCTGCGTTAGTGTCTGTGCATGTGTCTCTGTATCTGCATATGCATCCACATGTGCACTTTTTCCGATTGCCGATCCAAACCGCCGGCAATCACACGCAAGCCACCTCAGAAGCGACCACAATTAAAGCAGCAACTTAAACGAAACTTTGAGCAACAAATTTTGAAACTGCAAATGTAGTAGAGTTCCTACAAAACCCAACGCCTGGTGGAAAAAAAAGAAAACCCCTAATTTATATAATAGCAAACAGAGGTGTGTATACCCTCTTCTTCAAACAAATTACCCGCGTATACAATTTGTATGTATATAATTTAGCCCATGCATACACGAGTTTACAATTTATTCACCAACAAAAAAGGAACGTTTCGTTTCAAGAAAATAAAATAAAACCACCTACAAGTAACCAAACAGCGAGCAACAAAAGTAAGGCATTAATGCCTAACAAAATCAAACACAGAGTCAAAAACAAACGCAGCAAAAATACACGTACGCCAAAAAATAATCGAGCAAGAGCCCCATTACTTTTGTTTTAACAAAAAAGCGGCATACACTTTTTGCCTGAAAAAAAATTAAAAATGAAAACAAGACCCGAGTACTGGGGGCGGAAAAAAACATGGGGGAGAAGTGTAGAACACATTGTGAAAATGTAAATTTTCCATTGATTAAATGCGAAAATGCAAGTGGTGGGCTGAAAAAGTGATGCGGTGCAAGTGGGAGAGAAATCATTACGGCTGCAACTATTTTTCGGGAAAATATTTGAGCAAATGCCAGTCATGAAAATTCGAAATTCGCAGCTTCAATCAGATTCGCTTGAATGAGGGAAAAGCCCTTAAAATGTGTCTGCACATCGCTATTTCTTTTTCATTTTTTGCTAATGGCTAACGAAATGAAACAAGCAATATGTGAATTGAGTCTTGAAACGTTCTGTGCTATTTTATTTTGGCATGCAATTGAGCTTATGTTTTCTATTTCTCTTACCCGCGTGTCATCATCATTTATTTATTTAAAAAAGAATGTGTTAAGATCAAAATGATCCGCCATGACGGTCTAAAAAATAGTTTCCCTCTGACAGCTCACCCACGGCGATTTGGCCAAGGGAGAAACCCCATCGTTCTGTCACCAAATCGAGGACCTGCGACCTTGACCAATCGAAGGCAAGGTCGGGCGGCAGAGGGACGACCTTGACGGCCCACACAAACCAAATGGACCAAGGTGTTGACCAGCAAAAGGAGATAACTCAACGCGACTGTGCGGTTAATGGCCCCGACCAATTGCACTGCGGTTGGCCAACTGCATGTCCGACTGCATCCAGCGCATCCTGAATGTCCTTTCCCCTACATCTGCATCTGTGTATCTGCATGCTGCATCCGAGTCCTGCCAACGAAATCGAGTTAGTTATGCCAATTAATGCGGCAATTGTCGAAAAGCGAGCTCCTGCCGACTCGACGAGGTTCCCTAATCACCAATAATCCGCATTAATTGCCATCAATTTGGGCTTTGGCCATGTCCATGTCCTGCGGTCAGCAGATGTCCTTCGATTTTCGAGGACCACCACTGGAAAGATTGTTGAAACCTTTTAGTATTTTTAACAATAAAAAAATTCAATTTTTCGTATGACCAGTAATCGTCCAATTTCAGGTGAAAATATTACGGATACAATGAATATAATAATATAATATATTCTCTACAAACTCGCTTCTAACCAGCCCAAACCTAGATGGTTCTTCAAAACATTAAAATACTTTCTTACTAATTTAATGGGAACACCAAAGTACAAGTTCGATAGAGTGGTTCGAATTAATTACCTAATTATACCCCTATTTCTTCTATTTATAATCGTTTTCTTTTGATTGATTAGAAAAGAAACTTTGTGCCAGACACTTGCATTTCCCCCTCAGCTGACAACCACAATAGTTACTATCGATAATGCTCAGGAGATAAGTTAAAATAAAAATATTTATTCGCGGCTGGGTTTTCGACTGTTTTGGCCTGATAATCTTGTTGGGTTTCTCAATATGCAAGGCAATTCACAGTCGCATTTTATTATCAACTAATTTTCGATTTGATGCTTGTCTGTGAAGTTCTTTTGTTGTTCGTTAAGGTGAATTTCCCCAATCAGGCAAAAAATGTTGAACAAAATATTGGATCTACAAAATTGTTGGGAATGCTTCAATTATAGGGGGATTGCTTTTCATTATGGGGATTGGAAAATTGCCAAATATTGTTTCAAACTTCAATAATTGGGAAAGATGTGACTTAATGCTGAAAGAGAATTGCTAAAAGTGTTGCAAAAACCTTTGGAGAAATGAAAACAAATACATGATATTTTGTAAATACTTTTTGTGTGTGATTTTTGTTTTTTATTTGGTTTTGTTTCAAATTCGATTTTTGTGTTAGATCTCTTTTCGCGCTAAAACTTATGGCTAGACAAAAAAATTGATTTCTCGCTTACAAGACTAGTTAAACATAATGATTAAAAATAGCTAAATTCGCATATTATCCTTGAAAAAAATAGGTTTTCAAAAAAAAAGTTGGGAGTGTTACAACTAGTTAGCTATGTACAAATTGTTTTGTTTTTTTTTTGTTTTATGTGTTGAAATGAAATTGAACTAAAGTTTGCTTTCTTGGTATTTTCTTTTTGGGTTGAGTTTTGGAGTTATCGTGTTTTCTTCTGGGATTTGTAAAAAATCCTGGTGAAAATCGAGGGCCTGTGATTCAAACTCGTCGCACGATTTTATGAGTCCGAGCATAAAACTTCGCCGGAGTCTGATGTCCAGGATGGGGCTGCTTTGTCCTTTGTTCTTTGTCCTCTATCCATTATCCTTGATCAGTTAATCGCTGCTACTGCTGCCGTCTATCCTTCTATCCCACTGATGATGAGGCTGCTCCGTTTGCCGGCCGGAGGCGTCGTAACTTATAACACTATATCACAATTATAATTTTTGCCCGCTTGCCGCTCTGCGCCGCCGCTGTTTTATCACTTTGTTTTCTTCACTCCTCCAGATCTTTGGGGATCAGGATCTACTTAACATAGATGCCCCATGGGTGGCCTAATACGGCCGCCACACGGTCTTCTGCTGCACGGCGGCGCTCTTGATCTTGGTGGTCGTTTCCGGCGACGGCTGGCGGCTACTGGCGACCGCTCCAGGACCGCTCTCGTGGTAGAGCGGCTTCATGGCCGAGGGCGCCTTCAGGTCGCAGCGCATGCGAAGGGGCGCCACATCCAGGCTCTTGTCCAGGTCGAACTCCGACTTGACCACGTCGATCTGCTCGTCGTCGGAGTCGCCATCGCTGGCGGACTGCTCGTGGATGGAGCTCGTCTCGATGGAGGTGTTCAGCTTGAGCAGCACGTGCTGCTGGGTGGGCGAGGAGCTGGATGGCCTGGAGGAGGCGGGGCTGACGTGGACCGGCTCGCTCTGGTGATGCAGTGCAGCATTGCGGGCTCGCAGGCCCGCTGCCGCGGCAAAGTTATACGGATGGAAGGCGTGTGGCGTGGCTGCCTTGGCGGCGGCTGCGGCGGCCACATGGTTGAATGGGAACTGGGGCATGGCATAGGGCGTCGCAGGCGCCGCGCCCGGTGGCGATGGCATCATGGCCGCCGGTTGTCCCGCCGCCGCCGCCGCAGCCACTGCTGCCGCCGGATGTGGATACTCAGATGGCTGGACCGCCGACGAGGAGCTGGTGGCCACCGATGGATTGGGATTTGGCGACACCGAGGAGGCCGAGGACTTGGCCAGCGCCGGATGATGCACCTGGGCCGCCTGGGCGGCTGCCTGGTGGCGGAAGTAGTCCGCATAGCCGTAGGTCATGTACGCCGCATCCAGCCAAGCGGGATTCAGCATGAACGGGTTAAACGCGCCGGGATGGGGATAGCCATAGCCTGGAAGGATAAAGAAAAAGGGCGGGAAGTCAGTAAAGCACAACTCAGATGTCATCAGGATGCGTTTGTAAAAAGGTGGGTTGGGGTGGGGGATTTGGTTGGTTCTCAAGATCTTTGGATACATCGACATGATGCTAATAACTTCAAAGTAATCACCTGAATTGTTTCTAAGTGACTGATCATTTAAAGTGAACTCAAAAATGAATTTAGTGGTTTAAGATCATAACTAGTTAAATGAACTTTTTGCAAACAAATATATTGATATTTAGGCATTGCTCTCGAGATATGCAAATGGTTTTTGGGGAGTGGAGTCTTTGGGAGTGGAAGTGGGAGTGGATCAAACTGAAAACATAATGGAAACTAAAAAACTCACTTTGCTTACTTCTTGGCTCCCGTGGCCCGTCGACGGTCACCTTGATGGCCTTGCTGTAGCTGGCGATCTGCACCGGATAGGTGGCGATGGTGATGGTCAGCGTGAAGGACTTGCCGCGTCCCGATCGGCCCACAAAGCGCAGATCATTGAACTTGGCCACCTGGTTCTTCATGGTGGTGGTGCAGTTCCTCAGCTCGCCGCAGTAGTTCTCGTCGTTGCCGCACTTGATGGACACGAGGGTGCCATCGGGCACATCGTCCAGGGCGATCACCTTGAAGGCGCCGGGCAGCGACTTGTTCGACCGCCAGTGGTTGGGCAGAGCGCTGCAGAGGATCGAGGGCGATCCGGTCTGGGCCAGCTCGCCGTGGTACTCCTGCAGCATCTCGTGCAGGCTGGCGAACATGTCGGTCATCGAGCTGGGCATCTTGGCGGAGTTCTGCGGACTGGTGGTGGCGTTGCTGCTCGAGCTGGTGTTGTTCGTGCTGAGATCCGGGGTGGAGCTGCCTGTGCTGCTGGCCGAGTGGGTGCTCGTGTTGGCCAGGCTCTGGGCGGGATTGATTGCGGAGGCGGAGGCGGTGGCACTGGCGGCATTACTGCTCTGCTGCAGGCCAGGACCCTGGGCAACTGCGGCCGCAGCGGCAGCTGCTGCGGCGGCGGCAGCGGCCAGGACCTGTGAGTTGTTGGCCACCATCGTTGGACCCGCTGGCAGATGCATCTTGTATCCGAATGTGGAAATCGTAGCCGTAATCCTGGGGCTGTCGTCGATTGCCGGTTCTCTATTCTCGGATTCTCGGTAAGCACTTCACTTTATCGGGGGTCACTTGGAAAAAATTCGTTTGGTCGTTTGGTTTGGATTGTTTCGATTTCGCGATTTCGAACCCTGCTTCTTTCGAGCCTGTTTATGTTTCGGTTTCGGTTTCTGTTTTCCAAAGTCGAAATCGATATATTTCTCTGTGCGTTCTCGACACGCTAAAGTCGCTGAGTGAACTGATTCTCTGCTGCGATCGTTGGCAGTATTTAAAGTGGAATGCGCTGCTCGCCGCCTCTGTCGACGGCTCTGCCGGCGTTTGTGCCCCGTCCCACTTGCACGGCGCTAGCGCCGTCTCTTTCCCGTCCATTATCCTGGGCGGCATGGTGGTGTGGTTGGCTACCTACGCACACAGGCGCGCCTTTAAGGGTGCCGGGGCAGGTATATATCGGTATATCGAGCAACCACCATTGCCGCCGCAACAACAACCACAGCAAAAAATTTCCCATTTTTCCATTGCGGTCTCTCTGTGTGTGTGTGTGTGTCTGTGTGTGTACTGCTGTGTGTGAGTGTCAGTGTGTCTGTGTACGTGAGAGAGAAGTCGCTTGTTACTTGTGGCCAAAAAGGAAAAAATACAGCGGAAAAAAGGAAAATCGCATGGGCGAGAGCGAGAGAGAGAGAGAGCGAGTGAAGGCCTGGAAATTGCACCAAAGAAAAACTCAAAAAAAGAAATACACCGAGACTTTTCCACTCTCTCGCTCTGGCTCTGGCTCTGGCTGTCGCTCCCTCTCTCGCTTTTCCCCACGGGCGGTCTGGAAATTGTGTGCGTTTTCCTTTTCTTCGCTTTGAATTTTATTTTTTCGCCACGCACGCCAAAAGAAAACTGCCGTGCAACAGTTTTCCATTTTCCACTTCCAGCGGCGCGCGTGTTTTGGCGGCCCTCCTGCCGAGGGGGTCGCCGAGGGGGGCGGAGGCGGGGGCGGGCGGTACAGGTAGGCACCCATGGCCAAACGGGGGGTTCCCTTCACCTTCTTCTTCCACTTCTTCTGCTCATTCTCTTCCCCTGCCCGAGTTGCTAGGATGCCAGGGGCGTCCTGCCGACAGGACATGAGGACTCAATTAGTCAGTGCGAGGAGGGATCAGGTTGCGAAATTATCATAAATATTATCACAAGCATCGGGACAGCTATCAGTACCACCTTGGGATCAAAGGATCGGGAGATAATCTTATAATTAGATAATATACTCGTAAGCCCGCGAATTTCATGCGAGAGGCGGAAGTGGAGTCCGCCAAATTATCCATTTGGATTAAAAATGAACACAGGATTTCAAATGCATGATAATATAACTACATTTATAGTACGAAATTGCGCGAGTCCGCAGATGATGAGGATGGTATGCACTATGGCATACTATTACAAGATTAATTATATTTTCCTTCATATTTGTATTTATTATTATATATTTTATGGTTCTTGTATATACCGTGATCTATCTACGGTATAGTGTTCGAAAGGAAATTCATTGATTAAATGTACATAGATGCAGATACACAATCTTAAATCTTGAGAACGCAAAATCTTATATAAAGGAACTACCATATAAACACGATATTTTAAATACCTCAATATTATGGCTACCATTTTTATTGCGGTCTTTCAGGCTTAATCGCTTTAATAATCTGTTCAGAAATCTGTTACTAACCATTTGCAGCGACATTTGCTTATATCAATGACATCCCTATACTTTTCATTGCAAATAAGTTAAGTTAAATAATTTAGGATCAGATCCAATTATGCAACACATACACATGCTTAACATTACGTTGCATTGTGTGTAAATGTCCCAAAATTACTGCTTCATTGAAAATAATCAGAAATCCCCGGCTGATCATATTACGGCACACTGATCCCTCCGTGTTGCTCAATGTTTTTCTCGATTCCGCCCAAATTTACTTCATCGCCGATCTCAGATCTCCAATCTCCGAACTCGGAACTCGATCAACTGATCTGCAATCTCCGATCTGGATCTGTGCTACTAACACCCATTGTCAGGTCCGGCGGATCCGGTCCAGTCCGCTTGCAGTACCACGAGTATCTCAAGATACACTGCCACCGATCTCTCCGGGGATCGAACTTAATCCTGATGCTGATCGGGCGATTATCCTGCGATTAGTCATGTAAATATTTGAGCGCCTCTCAGTTCGTGTGGCGCAATCCTCTTCGATTTCATTTCCATTTTCGCTGCCTGCGATCGCCGATCCTTGATTGGATCAGGTTTAGCTAGCTGATCGCATTTAATCTGATCCGGAAGTGTCATACTCGGAAAACATAGAGTATCTTTGGCCGCCTACGCTTCTGCAACTGAACACTTTTCCATCTAATCTAGCTGCGTATATTTGGGTTTCCAGATTTGTACGTTTTGCTTAACGATTGGATTAGTGATAGTCCTTCATATTATGAAACTCAGCTTCAAAAAATGATCTATGATCTGATTTAATTCACTTTAAGTAATAACAAAGTGCCGCTTAATATAAAGTAGCTTAGATGTGTGTGCGTTCCGCAAATTAAACCTTTTTTCATACTTTTCTATATTTTTCCATAATTTAAGATAATTGTTTCAATTTCTTAAACACCCATTTCGTGCAGTGGAACGCAAATCAAGTGCCCGACTGGCCAAAAAATTGCGGCCCACCAAAACAACCTTAAAAACGAGGCCACACAGGACCCGCGACTTTTCCGAGGTGGGGGACCTTCCAGGCACCGGCAGGAGGAGGAGAATGAGGAGAAGGAGTGGGGAGCATGGCCATCCTGGTAGGGGAACCACGAGGCAAGACCAACCAAAATGTCGCGAGAACGCGCCGCTCTCAGCTGGACATTGTAGACGCACACTTCCAGTAAATCCAGTGTATCGGCAGCGCTGCCTTTTGTACGTGCGCGGCCGCTCGCTGCGAAGGACCTCGTGTCCCTACGCCGATTCCACACCATGTAGCCATGGGATATATGGCAGGACAGCGCAGGTTTGGCGGGCGTGCGACAAGGACGCGATTGCCGATGGCCGATTGACGGTTTCCCGGGAAATCAGCGCTCCTGTCGTCGCTGCTTGGATCCTGCTGCGATTCCCTGGCAATTTGCGACAGGAGCTGCCGCAGCACGCGCATCGCAGGACTCGCAGGACCCGCGGGATCACCGAGCAGCAGGTAGTGCCCGATCTCCACAAAATCGCAGCCAGCCCGCAGGAGCCAAGGATCAACCCTTTTTTATGGGCCCACCGATGCTTTTTTGCGGCCCCAAAAAAGTGGGAAAACTACGATTCTACTGGCCCTCACGTACCTGACCCTCAGATGTACCATCATATATACAGCACCTCACCACTGCCACCTAGAAAACAGGTAGCCCAACCGCGCAATCTTAATCCTTTGCTTATGAAAGTCAATCGCCCGGATTAAGCAGCACGCCCCGCAAATATTTTGGCCGATTAGCCGCCGCCGCGGGCCATAAAAGTCGGTCCCAAAAAATAAACTACCAGCATCTGATACGGGAAATGCCTACCTGGCTACCAAAACGCGGAGGACTTCGCTTTTTAGTGGGATTAACCGATGGCAGATTAAGGCGACAAAAATCTGTATTCACGCACTCAAACTATGCGCACAACAAATTGTGCACAAACTAAAGCCTAAAATTAGCCTAATAATACAGCTCCTCACTTACCCCCAACAGAGCAGCCCCAAATAATTCTAAGTGCAGATTTTATTTAGTATTTTACTTTGGTATTCGAGCTACGATGCATACCGGATAGATACTGGTTCGTATCTGTGAGATGCGATTTCACTTATGCAAATGCCGTGCGATCCCCGAAGAAAGATCCTCCAATTGAATGGCCATCGCAACCGCGATCGCTGGAAGATCTGTGCGAACGAGCACGCCGTTCATCCCCCAATCACCGTGCCGTGAGACCCCTCCCCCTCGCAGAAAGAGACGGCACCAGGCGAACGAAAGAGAGGCCGCTACGCTCGAGGGGCTGGGGTAACCGCAGAGATCGGCCAACCGTTGGCGAGCAGATGCTACGGAAATAGCAGACATCCCAGAGGGGATGATTTATTAGTAGGGCGATCGTTGTGGGAGCGAACGAGACGGCTGCGGCGATCGTGGCTCCGCCTCTCCTCATGGAGCTCCTCGCTCAGCCGTTGGCTTGGCAATACTGAATGCACAGGGATCCCAGGAACCAGGACACAGGACCCAGAACCCCAAGGCCCAGAGCCCCAAAGCGCCAGCGAAAAAGCAGCGACAGAGAGCGGAAAACTCTGGCACCGTGGAAATTCCAGTGGCGCAGGGGAAATTCTCACTGCCGCTTCTCGCAGCAGAATAAAAACAAAAGCGACTGCCAATCGAGGAACATTTTTGTACTCTTCGGTGTTCGGTTTATTTGACTATTTCAAATGAACGCCACATAAGCTGGAAACTTATTTTGCAGCAACAAGTAATAATACTACTTTTTTTAAGAGCTCGCAGCATTTATGATAAATGTAATATTAGTAAATATAATAAATAAATAAAGCTGTGTGGGCGGATAAAACCAAGAATAATGTCGCACAAAATGCAACTAAATTGCTTCTATTTAGCTAAATGTATTTAAAAATGCAGCTAAATAGTTCCTTTTTAATGGCTTTAAAAATGCAGCTAAATAGTTTCTTATTAATGGCTTAAAAATTGCTTAATTAATGGCATTCCTTATTTAATGGCCTTACATAAATATTTTTAAAAACACACTAAAAAGTGTATTTAACAAGTTGGGCCGCCAATTCGCACATTGCTCTTTATTTACAAAAAACAGCAGTGGAAAAGCGGAAAAGCGGGCAGCGCGGCGGCAGCGGAGCGACTACGACTGCGACTGCGGCTGCGGCGTTGTGTAAGTGAATTGTGGTTTGTTGTTTTGGTTGTGGCGCTGGCAGCGCTGCCGGCAGCGACGTCGGCAGCATCTTTCGACCGCACCCCCCCCCCTCCCTTTTCCTTCCCCGCTGGCGACGTCCTTCAACCCTCGGAAAAAATTACACCACAGCCGGTTCACCACTTTCCATTGGAAAACGCTTGTTTGAGTGATTTTTTTCTGCGTTCTGGGGGTGTTTTTTATTTTCTTTCGTGTGGTGGAAAGCGGGGAATGAGTGTGTTTCGGCTTTCCTTCTGTTTTTCTTTTTACCTTTTCCTTTTTTGGTTTTGGTTTTGGTTTTCTTTTTTTTTTTGCTTGCCTTGCCTTGCCTTTGCG